CCCCCCGCCCTCCCCCCTGGGCCTGGGGGCCCCCCCCCCGCCGTGGTGGCGGCCGTGGCGTTGAGGTCCCGGGGGTGCGGGGTTCGGGTCCCGGGGGTGCGGGGCTCCGCGGCCTTAGGCGCTGTGGGAGGCCAATCCAGACCCTGGCGTTGGTGGCTTTAAGGAAAGAGACACCGGCCTCCCCGCGAAAAAGCTTTACAAAGCCACCCGCCCAGGTTCCCGTCTGCTCCTGTCGGACGTGCTCGTGCTCCCGCGCCGAGGAAGGCCCTGGCTCAGAGAAGCGCTGCCTGTTTGCAGAACGGCACATGTCCCTGACCCGGCGGGTCTCTTATCTTTTCTAATGCTCCCTTAGGTGGCTTTAAGGAAAGAGACACCGGCCTCCCCGCGAAAAAGCTTTACAAAGCCACCCGCCCAGGTTCCCGTCTGCTCCTGTCGGACGTGCTCGTGCTCCCGCGCCGAGGAAGGCCCTGGCTCAGAGAAGCGCTGCCTGTTTGCAGAACGGCACATGTCCCTGACCCGGCGGGTCTCTTATCTTTTCTAATGCTCCCTTAAACAGTGTGTGATAAAATTCTGGTCTGAGATCTGTTGACCTGTCATCTTATCTAATACTCTTGTTTGTCCCTTGTAACAGTAAACATCCTCTACTCAAGTTAAAATAACAAGCTTTGTAATGCTGACTTGCTCCTTTCGGATTTACTTGTTAACTAAAGCTACCGTTAGAGATCTGGGATGTCCTTGATGCTTCGCTTAACTTTGTGCCACGAGGCTTTTCTATTTAATTTTTCCAACTTCATTAATAAAGTTTTCAACAGTCATGTTTTCACAGGACTCCCTTTGACTTGAGCCATATTCAACTTTAAATCCTCATTCAGACAAACACAGAAGAAAAAAAATGTAGGATGCTTTATCAGATAAAAGTTTATTTATGATCCCAGGGATAATTAAGCCCAGTGTGTAAGTACTAAATAATATGATTTTATATAAGCAACAATTTCAAAAGATTCATACAGTCCAGAAGATAATAGAGTAAGCAGCTGCATTTGGAGTATTTCAACAGAGTCTGATTAATTAGTCAAGTATGAGACATATTTTGCAAATTTGGGAAATGTAATGCTGCTTTATAGTAACTCGTGGAACTAAAGGTCTAGACTATGCTGTACAGCATGTTTTACCCTCTGGTTCTGCCTTGTTTTTCTTAAAGTAAAAAGTTAAGACAACTTACCAGAATTCCTTCTTCATAATGGGTGACTAATGAACATTTGGAAAATTGCCATATATTACTGTGCTTGCCATTCTGGTTATGTTGGCAAAAGATTGCCCTGACCTCAGACAGACATGACAGCCCTAAGCTGTAGCCAGTGTTTGTTTTCCCTGTTCCACTCCTGGCCCTGCTGTTAAATCCCCAGTGGCCCTCCCTGTGCAGCTTAGGACCTTCCATTGCTGCACTCTGCCCATACCTCCAGCTCCATGGCTGCCTTTGAAGTCTCTGCCATTACATCAGTTTTTGCAGAGCCCTTTAAGCAGCCACACAGGAGCAGGCCTGATACACCTGTATAAAATGATACATATGTACCAGTTCAGTGTCTTCCCAGTTTGCACCTTATTCAACACAAGGAAGTTCCATGAAATCAAACATGCAATCTCTAGGATTCCATTTAATTCAGCTTTATAGAAGGGAGGCACTCAGTGAAACATTTAGAAATGCAACGCTGGAAATTCCAATTCACATCTACTAGGAAGTCAGCTAAAGGAAAAAACTTGCCTGTGCTTGTACACCACAGCAGAAGTTGCACCTGGATTGTATGTCTGATTCTGGCCTGTTCTTTGCATTTATACTTAAGATTTAACGCTCACTTTTCCCTGGCTTCAGAGGTGATATCCTGGTCTTTGTTTCATGCAGAGACAAGCAAGGGAGATAAGGGCCAGCACTGCTGTATCATGTCAGGATTGGTACTGCCCCTCCACGTGGTTCTGGCTGCTTGAAAAAAAATTGCAGAATGAGAAGATGGGAGTCCATGACACTGCCACCACACAGTGCTTAGTCTTGTGTTCTCACTCAAGGATGTGGCTCACCTCCTCTTCACCAGATCTTTTGACACAGAATCATTTGTTCAACTTCCAAAGGACAGGAGAGCAAGCTAGAGTGGCGCCAGGACAAAGATTGGATCCCAGTAAGACAAAGCTCCTTGATTTAAATTGCTGGGAATGCTTGTCACCAAAACTTCTAGTATGTAGCAACAGAGCTTAAACAAATCAACGGATGAGCATTTTCTGAGTAGTGGTGTCCAATAATTCCGTTGGCTTATCACATGAATTCTGTATAAACTGAAGAGAATGTATAAATTTGGCCTTTCAAACTTTTTAGTGTTTAACTTTAATTCGATTAAACACTTATGTATGTGTACAAAGTGAAAAATGAGGTTACAAAAGGTTAATGCTTTCATGCTTTTAATAACTCTTAACCACATGGCTGTATTTTGTCAAACACAACATGGATTTCTTCAAGCCGGAAAACTATATGCTAGATAGAAGCAAATTGAGGCTCTCCAAAACAGCAAAGCTGCTACAAAACTGAACCATTTCTAGGCCATCTTTGAAAAATCATAAATAGTATTTCTGTGATGGAATAAATACACAGCATTTCTGAGTACAGCGGAGGAGACTCTTGCACACAGCAGGAAAATAAAAAAGGAGAGAAATCTAGACAGACCAAAAGAGCAGAAAAAGTAATTAAGAGATTGGTAACAGACAGAGCACAGAATCCTGAGCACAACATAACATCTATAAACCTGGGACAAGTTCAGGCACCAATGCCAAGGATATTAACAATGTACACCAGGTAATGCCTGCAACTTACCCGGAGGTTGGAGTGAAGTAAATGATGGATAATCATGCACAGAGGAACCAACCAGCAGAAAATGGCAACATCTGTGACAGATTGTGGCATCCAAATCCTGGAAGTAGATAAAAGAATAAAGGGCAAATTCCTAGGATTAAAATTTCTTGGACTTCAATTAAATCATGTTAACCACAAGTGTGGTCAGCACTGTTTGAAAAATTTTGGCTGAGCATCTGAAAGCACAATTCTCACATAGTAATGCAGCAGATATTAACTTTTCAAAAGCTGAATGCAGTATTTCTCATTTCCATTACAAGTCCTTCCCTGAGTGCCTAACAGCCAAATATTTCAGCAGCTACAGCTTGTGTTAAAAGCAAAACAGACTTCTCTCTCGCACCACACACCACATCACCTTCTGACTGCTTGCTTTTAAAATTAAGTAGTGGTGTTAACACAGTAGTTAGCTACTGTCACAATTTCACTAGTATTACCCTCAACAAAATCTGTAGTGCAGAGAATCACAGACCAGGAGGCCAAGTGTATCCTCTTTTTGCACTTCCTAGCCTATATGTCAAGGTGGATTACTGTTGCATAAAACAGAGTTGTTCTGTGTCAAAAGTTATTACCAAGAAACTCAGTTCTATTGTTCATCTTAATTATCCTGCTTTGATAAATCATGAAGAGTCACCCATTGCAACACAGCATTTACATTTATGAGTCTAATATTCTTTTTACTATTGAAACAAATGTCCTTAAGATGGAATCCAGGCTAGAAAATAGGAAAAACATTATCATTGATAAATGGATATATCCAGCTATTTCAGTTCTCAGCAGCAAGACTCTGATGATGATAAAATGCTGACCAAGGGATTCCACAATAATTATTTTGTAATGCTTAA